TTAAAGACATCTGTTTTTTGAGCTGCCATGTGGTTGCTGGAAATTGAACCCAGGTCCTCTGGAAGAGCTGCCAGTGCTCTTAACCGCTGAGCCATCTCTCCAGCTCCTCAAGACACTATTTTTTACACATGATTTGTCAGCCCAACACGTCAATTATATTTTATTTTAATTTTCAAAATTCCCTAGTAGTCTTGAGCAATAGACATGTATATTTTGAAGGCTTGTGTGAAAATATTGAGTGTGTAATTTTCTACTGATTTTCCTTCTTAGAATAACAGTATCAACATTTTCTTGAATTGCTTCATTGTCTTATATTTGATGACTAATATATAATAGCAAATACAGTGATCATATAATGAATTTATCTATACTCACTTTGTAATTTAGGAAACTTTAAACAATACTTTATGAATCATAATACTCTACGCACATGGTAGAAACCCTGAAAATACTTAGCATCAAGATGTGGTGGAAGATGCCTATACTCCAAACACTTAGGAGGCATAGGCAGAAGGATCACCAAAGAACATGATCATTCTGGAATGTTCCATTACATATCTTCTGGAAAAAATCCCATCCTAACTTCTAGAAGTAACCAATAGTCTTGTTTTCTCCATAAATCATCTTTACCTGATGTGCATATAGTGTTTCAGTCCAGCCAGCTATGCAACAAGACCCCATTTCAAAAATAAAAAAAAAATAAGCAAGGAATCTTTTAGAAAGCAAAACTTTACAGATAGCATAAGCAATATCCTTCCAAACCATTATGCCAGGATAGGTATTAATTGGCATATGACTAAGCAAGAGCTACATTTGTATCTGGACGTCTTATTTGCCTAAGGATTGCATTTCTCCACTTGCATTTATAGTGTAATAAGCCCTTTTATGTTGAAACCTCCAGAGATGTCCACACAAACAATGATGCACTACAGAGAAACAGCAGGATATAAAGGCAAGCATGTGGGTTTGGAATCAAATAGACTTGGACTGCTGTGCCTTGCGATGTTATGTTCTGCAAAAATACTTGTTCTCATAACAGCTCTATTTATTATAGAAAAGAATTGAGAACAGCCCAGGTGTCCATAGAGGGAAATGAATAAATTGGTGTATTCCCTCATGTTACAGAGAATGAACTGATAGTATATAGGCAAACATGGGTGAATCTCAAATCAAGCACCATGAATGATGCTTTGCACAAGAGTCCACACTCTTCCCTTGTGTACGTATCCAGAGCAAGTGGAAGTGATGTACTTGGCAAACAACGAGAGCAAACGAACAGCCAGAGGTCCGTCAGGGTGGGAATTTGCTCCAGAAGAGACACAGGGAACTTTCTATGATGCTGGTCATGGTTTGTGATATAACCAGGACTGGGCTGTGTGTGCTCTCCTGAATGTGGACAATGGCATTCTTAGGCTTTGTGCTCAACATTGTATGTAAAACTTTGCTGAAAGAAGAAGAAACCTCAAGAGTGTAGACCTCTAGTTAATTATGCTGCATGGAAAGCATTTACCTTCACTTTAACTGTAACAAAAGCTAATACATTTCAATAGATGGAGGGATCGGTAGGTAGATTGGTAAGTGGGCAAAGAGTGAAATACTATTATAAAATGTAGGGTTTCCTGTGTGATTTGAAACTTTCATATAATCAGACATTGGAAAATATCTTTTGATCTGGGGCATGTTTGATACGAGTTTTATTTCACCATAATGGAGGCAATAATATTTCACAAAGTAAAGCATCTAGTGCTGTTGTCATGTTGTAAGCCACAGTGTTTGAAGATTTGGCAACACTGTCTACGAACAGTGATCTGAAGTGGATGTAGCAAAATTATTGGTGATATGAGCAATGGAATGCCTGTCTTCTTAATGGAATAATTCCTTTTAACATTGGCATTCATGGTTCAGACTCCTTTGAGGCATCCTGCAGTGGTGTTTGCCCTAAAGAGAAAGGTGAGAGTATGGACAAAGTGTCACAAGCAACCATAATATGGGTTTTGATGTTTCAAAAGACCTTTAGTCATTTGGCCCACTAATAGTTCTAGTTGAGATCACTCACCTATGTCACAGATGTTTGTTGAGTATGTACATCATGGCAGGTATCCTCCCAGGAGCTAGAAACATGGAGACAGATGGATGTACAGAAACCTACAGCTTCCGGCCCTCTTGAAGTTCACATTCTAGTAATTATAAGCTTGTTGGATTTATAGGGATCTGTCTGGTAGCTGTAAGGGCAGAAGAAGTATGGGGTAGCTTTTCTTAGCACCAATCATGTCATGATAGTCATGGCCACCACAACCATAACAAAAGACTGGCTAACCCAAGTAACCATGGCATATTCATCTAGCTAAACTATTATGTGGCAGAGGGACCTCCAGAAATGAAGCTCTCAAGAGCCATGGAAAGCTGTCCTCATTCTTGGAATGCAGTGTGGAAATGTGAATGGACCACAGGGTGTAGTCGAATGGTAACAACTAAAAGGGAAAGTCAAGCAAGACCTGTGTGTTCAGATTCTTGTCCTTTCTGTGTGGCATTCCTTCTGAGAATGGAGTGAAACCCTACTTCAAGGGAGAATGGAAAAGGTGACACAGGTCTCATTGCCTGCTTTGAAGAAGGGTTCTGGCTTCTATGACTAACCTTGGGTAACCAAATCGTGATCTCTATCAATTGCTTTGGGGGGAAAAGCAGAAGTAGAAAGGCAGAAGGGCGGAACAAGGTCAGAGAAAGTACTTCTGAGGGTTGAAAATACACAGCACACCCTGGTGCTGCACTGTGGAGTCAACTTTGATGTAAGAGAACAAAGTAGGTGCAGGCCAGAGCTTGAGATAGCCAGTGGCCTTTGTCAGGCCCAAAACAGCGAGACAAGAAACAGAGGCAGATGCCAGGAGGCAATGTGGCCAGTCACACTGTTTCCTCATTCTTCCTGACTTTGGTTTATGACTATGGAGTCCTTCAATAGTGCAGTTACAAAGAGCAGAGCAAGGATGACTGAGCCACTTATGTTTATATTATGGCATTCTAGAACTGGCTTTGTCTTATGCTTAACCAAAGGCCACAGCAAACAATCCATGACTTCCTGTTAACATAGGTCTTGGGGGGGGGCAGTTATATCATAAAACAAAGCATTTCTATAAGTCACCCAAGGCAAGAACATTTGTCCCATCCCACACTAAGTTCATAATAGGCTCTGGGCAAGAAAATATGATGAGATAATAAATATGTGTGCATCATGGATAAATGCTGCCAACCTTGCAACACACTTGGGAACAAATGAGCAGTTTCTTTAGTACTAGGAGCTCTTTGGCATTGATATACTAATCTGGTTGGGTTTTGAGCTTTTTTAGCTAGGCATGAACTGTGCATGCAGGGCTTGGCTTGTTCTTCCCAGTGTGACCAGCATGTATACAGCAGGCATATAATCAATACTAGTTGAATTATTACAGATTTGTTTCCACTTTCTCCTGTCTTTCCTAGGGAATGATATAGAAATGACTAGTGATGAGGAAAGATGTGCGCAAATGATAACTTGGTTATGACCTAAAGTGTGGGAAATAAATAAACAAAAGCAGGTCATTGCCTAGACAAGTACAGACCTGCTTTCCCTGGCAGAGGAAAGGCTAAGATGAAAAGCTGTGTTTCAGGGCTTCTCTTAAGGTCAAGAAGACTTAGAGTGTTGGACAAGGCTGGGATATGAGGATGCAGGTGAATGAGGCTTCATAAGACAGGCTCCACTCCTGATAGCCTTGAGGGATGAGAGAACAGTGGGTATGTGGGCTGTTGTTCTGAGGCTCCGAACCCAGGGCCTTGTGTGTGGTGGCCAGTGCTCTACCACTGAGCCACACCCTGCTCTAAAGAGCTTAGCCAAGTTACTTGGCTTTCATTTTCTCTAACAAACTTTATTTGGGAAAAGAATCATCCAGGTTCATACACCTAAACATAATCTCTGTCTTACAAGTACTTCATAAATTTGGGTTTTCACTCTAGATGATTTCTAAAGCGATGCCACGGGTTTTCAATGGCTACGATTTGCTAGTACAGATCCAAAGGTAAAATATCCTGTCTGTTTATATAAGTACACACTCACAAACCAGTAAAACACCCCTCCCACTGGCGCCCTGATTTGTTTCATGTTACAACAGCTCAAATTGTCTCTTACAGAATACCGAGCGAGCCAGTATCCTCCTGCCAGCCAAGCCATCGAGCAACCTGACAGAAGAGCCACTGTTTGCTCCTCTCTTCAGGTCAGTTGTGCATTTTTAAATGGGCGACTTTGCTATAAATGCGGGCTGGAATGTGTCTAAAAAATCGATGCATTTGGAGTTGGGAGCAGGCCTTTATTCGTCCCACAGGCCTAGAGCGAAAGCTATGCCAGGCATTTACCTAGACCCAAATCCCATTGAAACAAACATGTTTTACGCTTTGTTTAAACTGGTAAGTGTCATGGCTTTTACGGTAACAAGCTTGTTGAAAAGAAAAGAAAAGAAAAAAGAAAAATTAATACACTTTTTCTTCTGGTATGTCTTTACACAAAGTCTTCTTCTGCGAGATTAATTTATACCATCTGTGGGTATTTGTTACCCACTCTCGGCTTGCAGACTTGCATTTAAATCTTCATGCTTCTTTTTCTAGGCTTTCTTTTCAAATTGCGGGAACACAAGGGCTAGTCCTAGCTGGTGGCCAAACAGAGCCTCTGAGTCCCAAGTCTTTTAACCTCTTGCTTCCAACTCGCATCTGAAGGCAAAACAATCCTGGAGACACGGCCCTCCCCCTGCTCGTGATAGGCTGCTGGGAATAGCAACAGCCTGTGTCACCGAAAAGGGCAAAGCCTTCGGAAATAGAAACAAAGTTGGTTACAAATCACACTGGCTTTGCTCGAAGGTTTCCCCCCCAACCCCTCCCACTCTTCTTTAGCATGCTGCCCATGGGGACAGTGACCACTGCTGTCAGGGCGGTAGGTCGGGGTGGTTTGGTGGCGAGGGAGAAGCTGTAACTTCTACGTGACCATGGTACCTGTTGAAAACACAGAGGGCCCCAATCTGCTGAACCAGAAGGGGAGAGAGGCGGAGACCGATGGCAGCTGTGGAGCCAGCGGCGGCCGGCATCCTGCCTGCGCGGGAGGTAAAGCGAGACTGTGGGGCTGGCTCGGGTGACCGCCAGAGGGGAGAGCCGTCCCCGCGAGCCCCTCGGGAGTGTGCGAGTGTGGGAGTGCGGTGCGCGCGCAACACGGGAGCGCGCTGGGTGCGTGGAGAAAGGAACGCAGGGTCTGCTGCGACGTGGAGCGACCCAGAGTTGTTCATGTGAGGACTAAGTCTCCTTGGGGCTTTATGTGTTAAAACAGAGTTATAACCCCGCTACTGCTGCCATGGGCTCCATCAATTGGCTTTACATAATGCAGTGCATACGTTCTTCTTTCTTGGGAAGGCGGATCACAGCCTCATTTGTGAGCACACACTTTCTCATTTATTGTCGCAAATGGACAGTGTGGAACAAGTGGACGTTGTGAGTATCGCTGTTAAAAACCAGCCTTCAAAGTAGACATCATACAATCATTAGTTATGTGAACAACACAACTTTCTTTTTAACTCGTTTATCCTGTGCCCAAAATGCCGCCTTTCTTTTCCCTGCTTTCCTGGAGACTTGCCTTTCAAAATGAGAGTCATTGAATACTTTTCATCCCCAAAGAGAACAGCAGTAGTTTTCATTGCATTATCTGTGCTAGCCTAGTTATTTGTCTTTGCTTCTTCTACAGTTACAATTCCCAAACACACATACCAGTTTTTTGTTTGTTTGTTTGCTTGCTTGCTTCCTGGTGCCTCTTCTTATTCATCTAATTGTGTTATAAGATGCCAAATACAAATGACCCTCTCCTTCCTACCATTAATACTTTCATTGGCTCCATGTGCTTCAATCATATATTCCATTCCCAAGCTGCAGAGTAGAATGTCACAAACAGTCACCAATGCTCAGGGACATAGAAGTCACTCATTGCCTTTCATCTGGAAATAGGTCTACACAAGGATGTCTAAGTGGTGAGTTTGTCTGATTTGGGCACAGAATTCATAAAGTCGCATGTGAAAGTGAAGTGGTTCCATCTGAGGAACAGAGAAGCTCTTCTTTGCTGCCCTGTCTAGGGCTGAGTTGGCTCTTTCCTTCCTGTGTCTAGTCAAGAATGGATACCTGGGGCCATCTTGGAATGTGGCCTCTCTCTTTTCCCAAGGCCTTGTGGGCTGGAAATTCTATGAGCAGGCTAAGGGAATCAGATTGGCAGTTAGACAGGTCTTATCTACAAATTCCTGTGAAATGAGCTGCAGGAGACAACAGAGCTCTGAGCTGGTGCCGACAAGCAAAGGGTCAATTAAATGGAGTCACGGTGTCCTAAACGAGAGGAAAAGTAACTGGCCAGCCTGACTTTTGCAACAACCATTAGAAACTAAGTTTTACCACTCATTTATAATGTCAGTAGTTGGCAGGAGAGGAGGATCTAGGCCAACATGGATGACATAGTGAGCCCTGTCTTCTAACACACAGAGACACACAGACACACAGACACACACACACACACACACACACCTTTAAGGTAGCTTTGGAAGCACAGTGTACCTTCGTATTATGCATTGTACACATTCACAATTATCTCCGTGGAAGGTAGTGTATAGACACATATCTTGAACATATATACAGATTTTAGTGTAAAGTGCTACTGTTTATATTGCTGTAAAGAAATAATGAATACCTCAAATAATCTATCAAATTTGATTCCAAATGAATCTTCATTATGTAGAAGGAAAAAAAAAACCTTAAGTTTTCCCTAGCATCTCAGATGAATACAGCTTTGGGTTTTGTTAAATATAGTTTCCATTTAGATGGATACCAGCCTTTTAGATTTCCCTAAATTGTCTTAAGTATCTCCTGACACCTGAGAACAACCTTACACATATCTGAATAAATGTACTATAAATGTATGGTCTTAAGAAATCATCTAATGTTTCCTTCTCTAATAATGGGATTATATTTTAATCAAGAGGTTGATGTTTATTGAGACATTTGCCAATTGCTCTTTTTGGCACCTTTGTATTTCAAACTTTTATAATTCCTTTTACCTGGGAAATTCAGAGCATTTCAAATATGCTAGGTGATTATCAGCATATTTCTGTATTCAAGGTTTTTCAATATCTCTAGGTGGAAAAAAGAAACAAGAGAAAAGGGGAATAAATTATATAACCCGAGTGAGGTGATTAAACTATGTGAGATACTGAATCAGCAGTGAACAACAACAAAAAGACAGACCACAAACTCTCAGCTCCTCCACCTGCATCATCAATGCTCCTGCACATGGAAAGCATTCTGGCAGATTTTTCTTGGTCAACCCTTTAATTAAAAAGGGTGCTGGGCGGGGGGGGGGGGGGTTGCTGGAGAGATGACTCAGAGATTAAGACCACAGGCTGCCTTTCCAACAGGTCCTGAGTTCAATTCTCAACAACTGCATGGTGGCTCACAACCGTCTGTAAGATCTGGTGCCCTCTTCTGTCATGCAGGCAGAACATTGTATACATAGTAAATAAAAAGGGTGCATTGCCTTGATGAATGGAAGCTAATGAACTTCATTGTTTTTCCAAGAAGCTATGACTCAAAGTGAATACCTTGTCAGTAAAATTTACAGTGTTCATGGACACATTCTGATTGACCTTCAATTTCAAATCCTGGTGCCTAGATCCAGTGGCAGATGTAAGTGAAGGGAGACTCTTCACGGCCAGAGCATGTCTCACAGATTGGAAGGAGGAAGTTGCCAGAGAGTGGCCAGTACGGGGACTAACTTAGGAGAGTCCCTGGCTAGGAGCTTTGATGTCTGCTCCTTCACCCATAGCTCCCATGCTTTCCTTATTTTGACATCCAAATTCCTGGCCAGAGAGAGTTCTCGAAGTCTCCTTTACTTCATCATCACTGATTTTCATCTCTCTTCTGCCTAAAATGGTCAGAAATCAAGGGCAGTATGTGTTGTTTGAGTTCAGGTTCTTAGCACTGAAGCGAATACTCTGTAACTGACAAACTCAGAGCAAGACTCACAGACCCTCTGGAAGTCTTCTGTTCATCCCTCTGAAGGTATCAGAGCCTGGGACTTCACAATACTTACACTAATCAGAACACCCAAAGGGGTTGTACTTACAGACTTCAAAGCTGTGCGTGCTGAGATAGATAACATGTGCGGGTAAATAAGACTGTCCAGGGTGCTCCCTCAGGCTTAGCCTAATCTGTAACATCTGGATGCAGCTGCTCTGGCTTTTTTGGTCTGCCCACCTGGTAGTCTGCATGGAAGAAAGTTGTGGGGAACGAACTTATTTTCATGAAGGAGAAAGTCAGGTCAACAGTCGGGCCTGATGATAGAGATTTGAATTGTGAGAAGATGGATTGGAACAATAAGTCTGTTATTTTGGGCAAAAATAATGAGTGTCTATGGGCATGCATGCGCTTGAGCACACACACACACACACACACACACACACACACACACACACACACACACAAAAGTAAATGTGACAATTTTTTTTTTAAATTACTGAATCTTGAAACCACATATTTAACAAATGTTAAATGCCTGCAACTTGTGGGCATGCATAAAGAAATAGGATTTGGAGACATGATTTGCAAAGAATTTGAGGCCTTCTCTGTGATGATAAACCAATTTGAAAGGTAAATAGCTCCCTTTGGGTCCAGCCAGCACCTCTTGGACACAGGACATTTTGTTTGTTTGTTTGTTTTTTGAGACAGGGTTTCTCTGTGTAGCTTTGGAGCCTATCCTGGCACTTGCTCTGGAGACCAGGCTGGCCTCAAATTCACAGAGATCTGCCTGTCTCTGCCTCCGGAGTGCTGGGATTAAAGGCGTGCACCACCAATGCCCCGAGACACAGGACATTTTTAACCTCACTTGGAAATCACACCAAAATTTTAACTTGGGACTTTAATTAGAAGTGAGGCTTGAGAAAATGGTTCCTGGGGATCTCCTAGGAAGGAGATGCTGGGATTTGTTCTACCACAAAGGCACCCGTAGAAATAGTGCTCTTGTCCCTTTCTAAGAATGTGCTGTGACCCAGAGAGAATGCAGAGAGGTTGTCACTTTGCCACAGATCCTGGATCAACCACAGCAACAGGAGCAGCCAGCTGCAGGAGCAGCAAAGGAGGCACTCAGGTTGTGACAGGGAGTTGGCAGACACGGCCATAGCTAGTGCTAGAACAACTAGCCAAGCCCAGGGCTCACCTGTGCAGGCCGAGATTTTGCTGACACCTGCATGCTGGAACTGGTTTTTATAACCAGGGTCCCTTCTGATAGGCCAGTGCCCCATCCCAGGTGTTAAATATTTTCAACATTGCCCTGCTCTGCCAGATTTGCCACAATAGCTGAAGCAGCAGGTTCCAGGAACGGGCTTGGTGGTACCAGACAGGACTCTCAGGTGAGCTTGGGAGGACATTCCTTATGAACGTTCCAGGGGACACTTCTTAGTGTTCTTGCCCTTTCCCTAGCTGATGGAAGTAGCTCTCAAAATATCATGGAGCAGCCTGAGCAAATAATGTGATACACATAATTGCAAAGGAAGCCGCTGATAGTAAAATGCAGCTCTAGGTTGGGGAGATTTTAGTTTTCTGTTAAAAGTAGCTGGGGAATGATGACTCATAGGGAGCATTTGCTCTGTTAGAGAAACCGAAGCACTTTTTAACCTCCTCATTAAAAAATTCTGAGATCACCGGGCAGTGGCGGCGCATGTCTTTAATCCCAGCACTTGGGAGGCAGAGGCAGGTGGATCTCTGTGAGTTCAAGCCCAGCCTGGTCTACAGAACCAGTTCCAGGACAGCCTACAAAGCTACATAAAGGAACCCTATCTGGGGGAAAAAAAAAAAGCAAAAAACTTCTGAGAGTCCCACACAGACGTCCATCTGTGAGCAATGAGCTTCCACAGCTGAGTTGAAACAGCTATTTACCCGGAGTGTATGAGTAAGAACTGGTTTTATAAGATCCTGAAGGTGAGCTCACCATGTCAGTTTTCCTTGTGAACAGTCTTTGGCACGGGAGCACTTTAAAATGACTTAAAAAAAGCATCAAGTTTTGGGGGTGAGAAAGGGGAGAG